AATAAGTTGACTAATTGATTACTGCTTAAACACAGACTGCCTCTTTGGCGGTGCGCCGGTGCGAGTTGGGGTGTCTGTGCAGTTTTCGTCTTGTTTCTTTTGTATCTTTTTCTAGAGTTTATACGAATTGCAATTCCTTATTCTTTTTTTATCGTGAGCTTTGCTTCGGTATGGTGGCCCTGCTGCCGCCTAAGCAGGCCGTAGACATTCAATCTTTTCCTTTTTCTTATGAAGGGTTTATCCCCCCCAATCCAGTTTCTTCATGCTATGCTCCTTCTCTTGATAGAGAGTAATTGAATACTTTGAATATGTTCTTTTTCTTCTCTCTATAATATCTCTTGCTGAGTGTTTATCGATGCCGCGGCTCAGTTGTATGAAAGCGAAACACAGCGATACACAGTTAGGACAATAAACTCAAAAAAATAAAATACAAAACAACGGGATACTAAACTATACTAAACTAAATAAATTAATAACACCAGCAAAAAAACTAAGTGAACGAATGGCACCCGAGTATACAGAGTAAACACCGGGTGGGTTGAATCTCCGTAGCTGTTGGCAACACGCTGCTGACGAGAAGGAAACTACAGAAACAAACCAAAGTCATTGAATATATATATATATATATATATATATATATATATATATATATATATATATATATATATATATATATGTGTGTGTGTCCTGGGCTTTCGGTTTCTTTCGAGGGAATTCAACTTCCGTTGCACAGTGTATTCCAGCCGTCTGCTAAAACGACGAATTCTGAATACATTGACGACGGAGTGCATGTGTTTCTGTGTCGTTTTCTGTGGTGTATCTCCGCTGCACTGGTGTCTCATCATCACTGCTTTCTTCTTGTTTTCTCACTCAACAGGAAATGTTTAGTTACACTTCTTCCTGCTGCAACCCCACCCAAAAGCAAACCTTAATTAACACCCTAGCAGACTGTTAGATGCACGCCTTCAGGCGCAAGCAGCCGGCATGCATACATACACAAAACTTCATTGTGTGTGGCTCAGACATCAACTCGATACACTCTATAGACCCACGTTGCCGCTGCAGCGGTTGTGGTTGCTTCCCTGTACTTCTTTGTTCACCATTGCACGCAGAGCACGAGAAGCAAAGGCTTTGGTTTATAACTAACGATGCAGACAGAGGTGTTCGTTGCGGTGTACCGCTGAAACAACACACCGTCGCGGTGATATGTGTATTATGTTTTGTACAAGACTCTGGTGAATTGAACTATAACTTTCTTTTGTTCTTTTATGTAGTATCACTTGTATTCAATTGACTATTCGTTCTTATAAGCGATGCGTGTGTTGTTGTATTCCATCCTTATATATGCACATCTATGGCGGCTAGCGGCGACGCATAGAAGGCCTTCTGCTTTTCTTCTCTTCAGAATATTATTTTTGTTAAACTATTTCAGACCTAATGTTAATTTAATGAGAAGCATTTCACCTGGGGGAGCCTGTGGTTTCTCCCCTGGGGTGTATACGCAGAGCAACTGACTGGTGCTTGCGGTGCTGCTGCATGCAGCAGGCCGCTGGCTCGAGGGTTTGGGTCTGTTTTTTGTTTCTGAATTGAAGCGAAAAGTTTCGTTTTTATCTTTTAATTGAATTAATTGAATTGAAACTGAACAGCGGCGAGTCCGCCAGCTGTATATGCAGCTGCTTTCACTTCCCTGTATCCCGCATCGCGTTCATCAGCTCGACTCGTTTTCTTTGACTGCGCTGCGCGGATTCTTCCTTTTCTTCCTTTATTTATGAATTTAATTCAACAGAAATTCTCTTTCTCAACATAGAGATTCGAGCCAGCTGCTGCCGCAACACCCCCTGCTTTCCTCCGCTGTATTTCTTCACTTGCATATGGCTGTTGAGCCCCCAGTGGTGTAATGAGTGTGCATCTTTCTCTCCCCTCGAGTATCTTAAGCAATCAGTCGGCGTCGTTCTTCTCTGTGCTGCTGGTGCGTCGCTAGCTGTTGCTGCTAGCAGCCGTTGTTAGCTGCAAGTCTGCTGCTCCTGCTGCAGCAGCAACAGCCGCTGCACTTTGCTTCCTTTCCAGCTGAGTAAGCCAACATGGACAGAGAGGGGGATCACCAGCCGCTGCTAACGAGCTCTGCCTCAGGGCAGACGGAAGCAGCAGCAGCAGCAGCAGCAGCAGCAGCAGGAGATGGTGTTGGTGACGAGTCTAGAGAAAGCAGAACAGAAGAAAAGACTCAATCCAAAGCAGGAGGAAGAGCAGCCGGGGAAGCAACAGCTCCTCTGCGTTATGCTGCCCCTCTTGGGGGTGTGAGAGGAGCGTTGCTGCGTTCGTTGCCAGTGGTGTTTGTTTTGTCTCTGTTGTCTGTTGTAGTTGGGGTGTATGTGTCGTTTCACATAGCCCCGCTGCTGCAGCAGTATGCAGCAGACAGAGCAGCATTCAACAGAGGTATTTGGGAGTTTGTTGTTTTTGTTTTTCTTCTCTTTCTCTTCATGCTGAGCTTCGCTTTGAGCGTATTCGTACGCCCAGGCAGCCCCACCCAATCAGGGCAAGACGCCGTGGAAACACACAACGCAGCGGTATGCGCCAGCTGTACATACACCCCATTCCTCCCCCGTTGCAATGCACCATATACATGCATACTCTATATATATATATATATATATATATATATATATATATATATNGTTGCAATGCACCATATACATGCATACTCTATATATATATATATATATATATATATATATATATATATATGTATATATATAATAAGCATAGATACAAGCACACATCTCCAGCGTCCATTGGCCCATAAAAACACCTCCCCAACTCCACAAAAAAAAGTAAAAAAAAAATAAATAAATAAATAAACCAAAACACATGTGGTGTGTTTATATATATACAGGAGACAAAGAGCGGGGGTGGTTTGCGTGTATGCAAGTGGTGTGAGGTATGGAAGCCGGACCGGTCTCACCACTGCCGCGTGTGTCGCTGCTGCGTGCTGCGGATGGACCACCACTGCCCCTGGCTGGCTAACTGCGTCGGCTGGGGGAACCACAAATACTTCATGCTGCTCCTCCTCTACGGCACACTCACTTGTCTCTTCGTTGCTGCCACCATACTCGAATCCCTCATACGAGTACTCAATCAACCCA